GCACCACCAGGGAAACCCCAACCATGTTTAATCTTACTATTATTTTTGTTAAACAATTGTCTTTTAAAATATATTTAAAATAATAAGAATAATATATTTTCCTATTTTATTGCCATTTTTAGTGCTTTTTATTCCTTGTGTAGATCTTTATTTCCATTTGGTATCATTTTCTTTCTGCCTGAAGGACTTTTTAAAAAAACATTTATTGTAGTAATGATCTGCTGGTGACAAATTCTTTCAGTTTTCTGCATAAGTCTTTATTTCATCTTCTTTTTGAAAGAAATTTTCACTAGGTATAGAGTTTTAGATTGACAGATATTGTTTCACTGAGTTTTTGCTTGCATTTTTTCCAGACAAGAAGTCAGCTGTCATTCTTATTTTTTGTCTCTTTGGATGTAATACAACTTTTTTTCCCTCTGACTAATATTTTTTCTTTATCACTGATTTTGAGCAGTTTAATTATGACATACCTTGGCATATTTTCTTCAGTTTCTTGTTTGGGGTTTCTAAAATTCTTGGCTCTATGGGTTTATAGTTTTCAGCAAATTTTAAAGAATTGTAGCCATTATTTTTTTCAAGTATTTTTTTCCACCACTTGCATCATCCCCCAAACCCAGAGACTCCAATTATACATATATTAAGGCTGCTTGATTTTGTCCTATACTTCATGGAGGCATTGTTCATTGAAAACGCTTCTCTTTAGTTCATTTTGGGTAGTTTTATTGCTACGTATTTAATTTCATTAATATTTTTTTCTTCAGTGTCTAACCTGCTCTTAATCTTATCCAGTCTATTTTCATTTTACATGTTACATTTTCACCTTTAAAGGTTTGATTTGGATTTCTTCTCTTTCTCTTTGTCCTCTCTACTTAAATCTCTGAATGTATGATATATAGCTGTAATAACTGTTTTAATGTCCTTGTTTTGTAATTTCAACATATGCATCAATTTTGAATCATCTCTGATTTATTACACTTAAAAATTTATTTTCCTTGTTTTTTTGGTCTGGTAATTTGTTACTGGATTCCATCTGTTGTAAATACTACATTGGTGTTTATAGAAATAATTTTTTTTTTAATTTAGAAAAAATATTTTTTTATTACTATAAATATTCTTGTATTTTGTTCTGGAATACATTTAAGTTATTTAGAAGGGTTTGGTTTCTTCAGCTCTTGCATTTACTTACGATTTGTTAGGTGTAACTGTAGCAGTGCTCAGCCTAAGGAGAATTACTCCACTAATAATACAAGACCCCTCTTTGTAGTCTACCCAAAACTCAGTGAATCATGAGGGTTTTCATTTTGGCTGGTGGGAACAGACACTATACCTGGCCTTGTGTGAGTGTTGGGCATTATCACCTCTAATCCTTTTGTGTGACTCTGCTCAGCTTCAGGAAGTTTCCTCACATACACTTGCTGATTATTACTCAGCTGAACACTGAGGGGTCCCTTTGCAAGCTTAGGAATTCTTTCTCTGTATATCTTCTCTTTGGTGCACTGTCCTAAGAACCTTCTTCACAGACTTTTACCTCTATCTCCTCAAGTTACAAGGTACACTCTGCTCTGCTTAGATTCCCTCGACTTGTACCATTATTTGAAACTTTCTTAAGGAAGTAAACTAGAGCAACTATAGGTATCACCTTACTTGTTTTCTGTCTTTCAATGATCACTGTCCTTTATTGCCTGATATCCCATGTCATGAAAACAATTTAAAAAATATTTTGTCATTTTTGTTGTTTCAGGCTGGTGTGTACATCTGGCCAGAAGCAGAAATTTTGAGTTGTCTTGAAATCTTAGTTAAATACTCTATGGATTTTTTTTTTCAACTTCTCTATGCTTATATCAACTCTCCCAAATAAGACAGTGAACTCCTCTAGGACAGGGGATTCATCTTAAACTTGGGCATGTTCCCTGTAACACTGTGTAGTTTGCTGTAAATTTTAAAAGTTACTGGTACAAGGGTAATGACTGCATAGGAATTATTTGCAACATCCTTTCTGTCCTTGTCTATCACACGATATTTAATAATGTCATCTTGAGTTTATTGTTATCTGTGCTCCTCTGAAGGAAGAGGAGGGTTGAGTCAGTCTGGCTTTGAGTGAAAGTAGGAGTTACAGGGCCTGAGACCCTGGGTTGTAAATGAAATTTACAACTGGGTAGAAAAGTTAAAGACCAAATGTTGAGTGAAAGTCAGGAAAAGGAAATACAGAGGAGCCCAGTGACTGGGATTCCAGTGAGGAGCCAGGAGTATGGAATCTGGGAACAAGGATAAAGGGGGAAAAAAGCAGTTCTGCAAATATCCTGAGGTATGTGCTGGATGATATCCATTTGAATATTTTTAAAAAATCACCTGGTATAGAAATGGTAAAAAGGTGAGTGAATCTGGCATAAAGAGACAGAAGTTTGATGGAAAACTCACTTGATGCACATTAACTCTAACTGGTTCCTCTCCCAATTCTGTTAGTATGGCTCTAATCGCTACATTAGCTCTATAAACCCCACCATCCTGCTTATTCGGAGAGGTTTCCTGGTTCTGTTGCTTTATAACTAAGATATTTATAAACATAATAAACACTCCCACAAAACATCCGTCTCAAAATTGGTTCACTTTCTTCATAAAGGAGCCAGAAATTCTGATATCATCACAATAAAAAGATCATGCTGTTTGTTATACTAAGGGCATTTCATTAGCTTAGCAAGTGTTTTAAATGAATAATAAGTTTAAAATTCAAATAGAGTATTATAAGGTAATATCTCAAAACATTTCAGAATTATTTGCTCTTTGTTCAGATACTATAGCTTCTAGGTAGGGCAGTGTCTGATAGGCCTTACTCAATATAACCATAAATTTCTGTGGTTTCTGCCCACTCATTAGATTCCATAAAAGCCAGATAAAAATTCCTGAAGAACATTTAAAATAATAATAGAGCTATGTCCTGGCACTATGATGAAGGCCATGCAATATATTATCACATTTAATACTTGCAATAATGCTATGAAGTTGGTATTGTTATTATTTCCATTTACTAGAGGAAAATCCAGTATAGAGAGTTTAAGTAACTTGTCCAAAGTTGCTGGTTTTCAGGAAGATCAACATCAGATCTGTTTGATTTCAAATTTCTTAATCACTGTTCTGCATGATTTTCTCTCATTCTCTCTTTTGTCTCTTTTTTGGAGGGAAGGACTGAGCTACAAATTCAACAGGCTTTAGATAATACCAATTTATCATTATTTCACTTAGTCAAAAGGTGCTATAGACTTAATGTTTTTGTCCCCCCAAATACATTTGTTGCAACCTAATCCCTAGTGTGATGGTGCTTGGAAGTGAGGCTTTGGGGAGGTGATTAGGTCATGAGGATAGAGCCCTCATGAATGGAATTCGTGCCCTTATAAAAGAGACCCCCATCAACCATGTGAGGACATAGTGAGAAGATGACTGTCTGTGAACCAAGAAATGGGCTCCCATTAGACACCCAAACTGCTGCCACCCTGATCTTCTTCCCAGTTTCTCAGAGCTATGAGAAATGTCTGTTGTTTAGACCACCTAGGCTGTGGTATTTTATATTTTGTTTTAGCAGCTCAAATAGATCCAAGGCCATTCTAGAATATGTTCTTGGAATTCATCAAAAAGCCCTGACTTCTTTGTAATTAAAGGGTTTGCTTGAATTAGGAGTCTCTATTCCACGCTCTGCTACTACCTTAAAAATGTATTCCAAGGGGCTTCCCTGGTGGCGCAGTGGTTGAGAATCTGCCTGCCAATGCAGGGGACACAGGTTCGAGCCCTGGTCTGGGAGGATCCCACATGCCGCGGAGCAACTAGGCCCGTGAGCCATAACTACTGAGCCTGTGTGTCTGGAGCCTGTGCTCCACAACAAGAGAACCCGCGATAGTGAGAGGCTCGTGCACCGCGATGAAGAGTGGCCCCCGCTTGCCACAACTGGAGAAAGCCCTCGCACAGAATCAAAGACCCAACACAGCCATAAATAAATATTTAAAAAAAAATGTATTCCAAGATAAAATGGCACTGTCTACCCATAAAAATTCATAAAACACAATAGGTTTTCTATATTTTTGCTACTGTAAAATTCAGATTAACTTTCCTTTACTGGAACTCAATGCAAACCAAATATTCATGATTTATTGGGAGGGAGAGAATTTATCTGGAGGTTGTGGGCATTCCCTCACAGTGACTGATAGGGGGCAGCAGAGGGCTTTCCAAGTGAGCATGGCTGAGGCCAGATGAGAAAAGCTTTCCTTGGGTGTGTTGGGAGCGGGAATAGAGAGAAGGGTGAGCAGTGGTGGAAAGGGTTATCAGAAATCATGAAAGGCAGGAGAAAAAGGAATCAAGTCATGGGTGTAGCCAGGCCAGGTAGGAGAGGGTCAGAGAAATTGCCAATTAGAGTTGAAGATAACAACCAGTTAAATAGTCAAAACCCCATCTGCAGGGCTTTCTGTCTAGTCCTATCCAGCTTCAAGCTATGAAGAACTATAATTACAGATTTAAAAAATCTTAGGTGGTACCAGTCACAATCTTATATACTTTATATTTGATATTATATTTGTTGATTATTTTTATTACATTTATTTGTTATATTTGTTACATTTATATTTATTATTTCTCATGAAAATATCATAAATTCTTTTTTTTATTTGAAATACAACTTTATTCTGATTCTAAATGAAAAGGAATGGGAATGACAGTAAAAAACAAGATTCTACCACTGAATATAGTGATGTGACTGTAACAGTCTTATATTTGAAACTCAAGGAGGAAACAACTGTGTTGCAAAACAGCTAAATATGCAGGTCCAAAAAATGAAGGTTTTTTTTTTTAACTGCCACATTCACTCCGAAGCCCATTCATCTCCTTTAGCATCCCAAAGATTAAGCACATGTTCTGCTTAGCTATATAATAAAGTGGCAAACACACTGCACCACTGACATCACAGGACAGTTGCCTATAAGACTAGACTTCTGACTCTGGGCTCCAGCTTCACTTTCTCACATGTCATCATCTTCATCTGGGAGAGCAGTTGTCTGAGCAGCCTCTAGATCATGCTTATACTGTACTGCCAAGGCTGGGTCCATGACCACCTCTGGCGGGGTGAGAGCAGGCATGGTGATGAACTCCAAGTTAGGGTCTCTGATCAGTTTTATAGCAAGCCAGAGGAAGGGCTTTTCAAAGTTGTAGTTACTTGTGGCAGAAATGTCATAGTACTGAAGATTCTCCTTTCGGTGGAAGACAATTGACTTTGCCTTAACCTTTCTGTCCTTAATATCCACTTTGTTGCCATACAACATGATGGGGGTGTTTTCACACACTCGTACCAGATCTCTATGCCAGTTAGGCACATTCTTGTAAGTAACTCTCGATGTTACATCAAACATTATGATGGCACAATGAGCTTGGATATAATAGCCATCTCTCAGTCCACCAAATTTCTTCTGACCAGCTGTATCCCATACATTGAACTTAATACGTCCTTTGTTGGTATGGAACACAGTGGGATGGACCTCAACACTCAAGGTAGCTATATACTTCTCAGATTCAGTAGTCAGATGACGTTTCACAAATGTATCAGTAGTTTTTCCAGTACCACCATCACCAACCAATACAAGTTTGAACTGAACTTGGGGTTCTTCTTGGGCAGCCATTGTGATGTTACTTCCAGAAGCATCTCTGTGCCCTTCTGACTGAGCTCATAAATTCTTACAAAAATTCTATTTGGGGATTATATTTGGGGATTATCCAAATATTACAAAAAAAGAAACTAAGCAAGTGCAGAAAATTTGGGGTTAGATCTTAAGGCTAATCTAATCTCAGATCATAGGCTTTCTCCCTTAAATTCTCAACAAAGTGACAGTTTTCTTCCAGTAAAAGATTATTTCTGCACCCAGGAAATTTGAAGAAAATCAATGCAGCAGTATTTAAAAAATTCCAAGTTCTCTTTATAAATCTATTTTTTGTCTAAGCAATATTATTTTTTTTAATTTTTATTTTAACATCTTTATAAGCAGTATTCTTTAGAATGCACTTATTGGAATGAAAATCTTTCCTTGGAGAGTTGTAGTTCTTTGGGATACCATTCAAATAATTTAATTATCAAATTATCTGAAGGTAATAAGAGAATAGTAGGTATTAGACTAGGGAGTCCCTCAGTTGCCGAGGTGTATGTGACCTTGAGGGCTTCAGTTACTTATAGAATTGACACTTCCTCTCAGAAGCTGTTATATTAACACATAAGCTTGATTTATGCTAAATTTAGATTAAAAAAATGAAGCAGCCATTATATGTGCTCAGATTATTATGAGGCTGCAATAATTTATATACATTGGTTGGTATTTAAAAATTCTAACATGATTTAGAAATTAATATTTAGACGTTTGTTTTCCAGCATAATTCTAGAGGAGGGGCCACAACTGTGGAACCAGTATTCTCTCATGATTTGATTAAAATAATGAAATCAGAAAAATTCTACAAGAGCAAAAGAAAAAGGTGATCCTAGCATTGGTATAACAGAATGCCCTTCAGGATGCTCTACCTCATCTCAAAATAGCCTGCAAAAAAATGAAAAATACATAAATAGAAGGATACATAGGGGAACCAATAACAGAATATTGTTTTCTCTTATATTGTGTAGATGTGTCCATTTTATGCGTATATTGTAGAACTATGCCTAGGCTAGTACGCATAGTTACATACCTATGAAATTAAGGCTATGTAAAATTATTGGATAGAATCTTTAAACTTTGAGACTCTAAGATGGTCTTCATGATTCCTACTTGCTGATATTCATGCCTTTGTCCATTCCCCTGCTCTGAGTATGGATGGACTTGTGACTTGCTTCTAACCAATAGGATATGGCAAAAGGAATGGACTATGACTTGCATGATTATGCTACATTATTTAAGAATCTGTTTTGCTAGAGAATTTCCTTATTAACTTGATGAAATAAGTAGCCATATTGGGAATGTCCATGTGGCAAGGAACTTAGGTAAGCTTCACTCCAAAGGCCATCAAGGAGCTTGACCTCAGTGCTACAGCTGCAAGAAAATAAATTCTGCCAACAACCTGAGTGAGTCTGGAAGTAGATTCTTCTTCAGTGAAGCCTAGATGAGAAAACAGTCCTGTTGACACCTTGATTGCTGCCTCAGAAGACCCTAAGAAGAGGACCCAGCTAAGCCATGCCTAGACTCCTAGCCACCAAAAACTGAGATGATAAATATGTTTTTTTAGGCTGCCAAGTTTGTAGTAATTTGTTATTCAATGTTCTATCTAATATATATTCCATCTAGCTAATATTAGCCTTACCTCTAATTACTCTCATATCACTTTGTTTAAATCTTTTAAAAAATTCACATAATAGTTGTTTACTTTTAATTAATTATCTATCTCCCTTCCCCTAAATCTCTTACTAATTTTGTAACCTTTGACAAGTCACTTGAATTCCCTGAAGCTCAGTTTCTCCATCTATAAACTGAGTTTAATCATACCTATGCCCCCAAGGTTGTGAGGGTTAACTAGGCTTGTGTTTGAAAGAAGCCCTGTATGATGTTTTAAATCCTGTCTTTTCAGACTCTTTCTAGATAGAATTAACTTTAATCATGATTCATTCTGTATGCCCTAGATTTTGATGCATATCAGGCCCTAAAATCTTGGCTTACTCCTTGGATTCTTGTCTTCTGGTCTATCTGGTTCTCTGAGTGGACAACAATGCTTGTTTATCTCTGACTGCTTTGTTGCAGCTCATAAGCTAAGCTTATTACACAAGAAGGGTGGTGGTGGCCAACAGTCTACAACAAATGAGAATTTCAAAGCTGGTTTTTTAAAAATATACTTTGGTGCTCTTGGAATAGGGTGGTCACACCAGGCCAATTCCACTACCCTCTTCCTACTAGATAAACAAAACATGAAATTTCTCTTCCTGTAGCATTGAGTCCACTGGGAAAAACATGAACACACTGTGCTTTTAATTAGCTGGAGAATGAATTCTGAGCCTGGGCTGTTTAAAAAAGTTGGGAGCAGATTCTCAGCACCTGCAAAATGGTAACAAGTTTCCTGGATAGTTGTGGTGGCTTATCTGAACATGAGTTCCTTACAGTACCCCAAAACTACCAATGCCTTCAGGGCCTCCATAAATAAGTGCCTGGTTTATAAGTTTGTATCTTCTGATATAAATCCCATGCTTTGTTACCCTCTGAAAAAATTGTATGTGAATGAAATGTCACAGAATTATAGAAAGGAACTTAGCAATAATCTAGCTAGCATTTTTAATACTGTACTCTCCGCTGTGCAGAGTGCTTGATAGTGTCTCATTTAATGTGATCCGACTCACTTGTCGTACAGATGGAAAAATCTAAACAATTTGGTTAATTGGCAACTTTCATTTATAGCATGTGCTCTACTTCATCCTAGTGCTTATATATGAACAACTGAGTACATAAATTACATTTACATGGCAGTTTGAAAGTAGGCAGTGTAATATAATGGTTAGCATCCCTGGCCTTTGGGTGATACAAATTGGGGTTTGAATCCTGGTCTGCTGTCTCCAGCTGTGTGCTGTAGGATGAGTTACTTAACCTCTCTGAACCACTATTTCTCCATCTGTATCTTGGAGATTAAAATGCTACATCGGCTTGTTACATGAATTAGATAAAATTAAGAACATGAATGTAAAATTAAGAATCTAAGTGATTGTGTAGTAAAGTGTGCCGTAAATGATAGCTATTATTATAAAGTACTTTCATATCAATTAAACTTCATGTAATAGATTATTACTATTATTATCATAATCTACATTTTATCTTTTAATATTATCTTATTATTTTACACTTTTTGCAAATAAGAAAATGAAGTCATAGAAAAGAGGTAAATGCTGGTCAGGTGTTCTGTGATATTAGGCAAGAGCTGAGACTCAGATTGAGATGTACAGACTTCAGCTCTCAAGCTGTTTCCTATTCTGCAATGCTGTTTCTTTACAGTAAGTGCTCTTTCCATTCAGCTGAGAACTTAGCTCCCTGCTTAGGCTATAACTCCTTGAGGGCAGGAATTTTGCATCTCCAGGGAAACCAACACACAGGCCTTCAATAGATATGTTTAGTTTATAAAAACAAGTTAACACACAATTCTAAGGAATATGAACTCTTAGTACAAGATAAGTCACTTGTCCCTCAAACTGAATCTCAAAGGCAAAAGCAAGGCAATTATCACAGAAGGACAAAGTACAGCATGAACTACCCAGAGATCCAGGACAGGGCATCATTGCTGGGTAATTACTTTGTAGAGGTAATTATATAGGCCATATTTGCATATATTAGCCTAAGGTGGTATGTGTGTGTGTGTGTGTGTGTGTGTGTGTGTGTGTGTGTGTGTATAAAAGCCACATTTTTCCTCCTTTCTGCCCCCACCGAGCACAGTTTCAGAATTTGGTGTTCATAAGGATATAGGGCTTTATTGATTAATTACTTCACCTAATGGGTATTTATTGAGCTTCTAATATGTGTCAGACACTGTATTAGACCCTGAGGACACAAAAATCAGTAAAGCTGAGTCTTTCCTTATGGAACTCATAGTAGGGAAGAAAGATGAAATGTTAACTAGAAAAACATATTTGTGATAACCTACTATTGAGATTGAGGTAAACTCAAGTTGTTCTTAGAACACATAGCAGGGAGATTCTGATTAGGACTGGGAGGATCAAAGAAAACTCCTTGGAAGGAATGATAAGTGAGCTAAGTCTCAGAGGAGTTAACCTGAATAGGAAGGAAAGGTGTCTATTAAATACCACATGCTCAAAGACATGGAGATTTGAATCATCAGGGGCAGTTCTGGGAAATACAGGTGATTCAGAGCATAACTCAGAGGGAGAGGGCCAAGGCCATAAATATAACTGGTGAAGTAATCATGGGCAGATCTTGAAGACCTTATAAAGCGCATGAAGGATTTTGGACAATAGTTTAAGGCATTTAGAAACCATTAAAGCTTTAAGCGAGGGAGTGACATAATAATATTTGGAAAGATGACCCTAATCATTTGTGTAGAATAAGACTCATGGGCTGATGCTGTTGGAAGGAGAACCTTTAGGAGGCTGTGGAAGTAAACCAAGTGAGAAGTCATAGCAAGGACCTGGTCACCAAAATATAGGGCAGAGGAAGGAGAGGAGGACGCTGCAGATGACACCCAGCCTTTGATGCTGGTGACTGGGGAACGGTGGTATAATTCACTAAGGAGTAATGAGGAACAGACTTTAGTGGGCCACAGGGAGCGCTTGGTTGTGTGGATGTGATAAGAAGGGAAAGGGGAAGAATGGTTAAGGATATTGGAGGGAAGCAGTGGTATCACTGAAGCCTGAGCTGGATGCTAGGGGGTAATTTATCACAGCAAATAGAGAAAGAGAGAGGTGGAAGAGAAAGGTAAAATAAGGACTAAAAAATGTTAATTGGATTTAACAAATATCAGTACTAGTGACCATGGTAAGAACAGTTTCAGAGAAGAGCAGGAAGCCAAGAAAAGATGGTTATATATTTTTATTTGGAGGGAAAAAAGCCTAAAGATAGCATGGAAGTCATATTAAAGTTTTCTTCCCTCTGGGAACATGGTAGGATTTCATTTTCTCACACCCTTTGACGTTAGAGCTATGTGACTTGATATTGCT